TAATTGAAAGTAAAATTTAGTGAAACATATATATATAAACTTATTGGAAAATTAAAGTGGATACTTTGTTTTGTAACATTAAACAGTGATTCTTTAAGCTCTTTCTTCAATGGAGATCAGTTTTTCTGCTATAAGACATTTGTTGACAATTAGAACAAAGTTATTTACTTTAACCTTATATTTTCTTTTATTTATTCTTGTATATTAAATTAATAAACAGGAATTGGTATCACAAAACGTTTAGATTAATATTTTACAGCCTTTTTGAAATATACTAAGTGCCACAAACTATGCTTTCAGGACCCGCACTTCTGGCCTTCTTACTACCAGCCAGATGATATCCATTATGGTAAGTTATTGTTTATTCAGAAGAAAATAAAAATGTTCTGGTAGCTGTATTATTCTCGATGGCCTTCTTACTACCAGCCAGATGATATCCATTATGGTAAGTTATTGTTTATTCAGAAGAAAATAAAAATGTTCTGGTAACTGTATTATTCTCGATGGCTTTCTTACTACCAGCCAGATGATATCCATTATGGTAAGTTATTGTTTATTCAGAAGAAAATAAAAATGTTCTGGTAGCTGTATTATTCTCGATGGCCTTCTTACTACCAGCCAGATGATTTCCATTGTGGTAAGCTATTGTTTATCTAGAAGAATATAAAATGTATTATTCTCGATGGCTTTCTTACTACCAGCCAGATGATTTCCATTGTGGTAAGCTATTGTTTATCTAGAATACTATAAAATGTATTATTCTCGATGGCTTTCTTACTAACAGCCAGATTATTTCCATCGTGGTAAGTTATTGTTTATCTTCTGTCTTGGTAAAACTATTATTCTAGAATCAAAATTTGAGAGTTTTCTACATCTGGCCATTTTTAAAAACAGCAAGGGTTAAGTTACAATATTTTTTTTTTTCTGCACCACATTTATTATCATTATTTGTTCTTCTTGATACATCTTTAACCTTTATAAGGTCGGTACAACATAACTTTAACTTCTATGTAGCGTGCTTTTTGCCATAATGATATAGAGAGAAAAACATTTTTATGTAACTGTAATACCCTTAAACGAATATTACGGTGATAAACCATGACAAATGTATACCTCTTTAAAACCTAAAAATCTAACTAAGTAACTGGATGGATATTTGTCAGAATATTTAAATCATGAATTTGAAACATTTAATCGAGACTGAACCTACACGATGATTATCTAATATTAAAGTTATTGATTTGAGATATAGAGATATCGATAACATATAATATTACATAAAGTATTCCAAATCCAATAATCAATGTTTCACAACAATCTAATTTATCTATTATTGTTTTCTACTTTAGTCTGTATGTCAAGTCCAAAATATAAAACAAAAAAACCGATGAGAAGAATTACTATGTACATGCAATGCTATTTAGTAGATAAATTACATTGGACGCAAGTTACCTTGTGTTTGGAGTATTTACAATGAGCAATGTTGTATTAATTAAATTAACGTCTTTGGGATGGTAGTAGATGACATATGTTTATACTTTTAAAATAACCTGACTGTATATATGATAAAATTAAAATCACGTATTAACCTTTTTTTAAGATTGTAATTCAAGTCAGAGTCAAGTTTATGCTTTAATATAAACCACGAAAAGCTGTTAGAATTCTTACCTGTTCATAATCGTCTAGTCCGTGTTTCTGTTTATTCCTTAAGGTTCGTTTCATCAGGAAAATGGCTTAAAAAAAGAAAGGTCGGTATCAGATTGATGTCAGAATAATGAAAATGATGTAACTTATATCAAGTATTCATTAAGTAAAGATATATCCAATATAGTATTTTATAAATGTGTGCTATTTGTAAAAAAAAAAAGGCATGTGAAGGGCTTGTAGGGCTGTGACAACGAAGGAAAAAACAATTCGGTTGTTGTTTTTATCGATCCTCTTGAGGAAGCAAAAAAACCATCAAGTGATTATTAAATAAAATTCACAGATAGCTTATCAGAAATAAGCATCATTATGTAAAAATCGTAAATGTATAAAATATGAATTGGCATGCATGAAAGTTTCGTATTGAAACAAATTAAAATGATAAAGATGACATTTCTTACATGCACATATTTTTTCAGTCACATAAATATATTTTGTCAGTAAACACTTTAAGATTAGGCACAAATACAAAACAAGTCCTACTTTAATAACACAGTCTTCCTCTGTAGTGGACAGTGGGCAGATAGCTTTGTGTTTAAAATGATTATTAGAGGAATATTGCTGTGTTTTATATTGTGTAATATGTTCTCTGTGTTTTTATTATAGCTAAAGAGCCAAAAGTGTGAATGGATAAAATTTCAATGGTTTCTCGATACACATGTTTTAACTAAGATAATATTTCATCTATGTTTCATTAAAAATATATTTTTACTAAACAATATACGCTTCTTCTTGTTGTACTATTTTTCTTTTAGGAGGCGTTGGCGTGGTTAAAGAAAGTTCTAAGTCAAAAATGGGAATTTATTTGTAAGCAAGCTGAAGAACAAGTCAAGTAAGATATCTGAATTATTCAACAAAAATAAAGATCAAACTTAAGTTTCGAAACTGTCAGAAGAATCATAAGGCACGAGCATTGTACGATTATCAGCAAGATGGAAATAACTTTAGTGGAATGATGATTTTTGTGTCATGGTTCGATTCAAACACGGTTAATGGTGTAGATATGTGTTATTAGGAATAACTTTGTGCGACTACAATTACAATCAACAAAACGATATTGTTATGGCACAAAACTCACAGTATATAAAATTGTATGCATTTGAAGAGTCAAGCACTACAAATTATGTTCGAAAAGGGGAGTACCACAAAGCAATATTATTTCTGAAGAACTACAAAAAGAAACTAAGTGATATTTAAGGTACTACAAAGACAAGCTATGTTAGAAATGTAGAGTTATAGAAGGAAATATTATGTCTTAAGTGCTACAAAATGACAAGCTTATGTCATCATCAGGTACCTTTGTAATAAAATTTCTTTCACTACCCACTCAAGCCTACTCCAAACTATATTTTCTAAAAATTGGGTTCCTCGTCATTAATTTGAAATAAAACTATGTTAGACACATAGAGTAATACAAATAAATACTATTTATGAAATACTAGAAAAGAGAAACTATGGAATGCTAAGTAATTCAAAAAGAAATTATGAAACGTTAAGTATACTATGAAAAGAAACAATGAAATGTTAAGTACACCCATGAAAAGAAACTATGGAATGTTAAGTACTACAAAAATAAATTATTAAACGTCAAGTATACTATGAAATGTTAAGCACTACAAAATAGAAATTGTGAATTCTTAAGAACTACAAAGAGAAACTGGGAATTATTAAGAACTACAAAGAGAAACTGGGAATTATTAAGAACTACAAAAAAGAAACTATGGAATGTTAAGCGTACTATGAAAAGACACTATGAAATGCTAAGTGTACTGTGAAAAGAAACTATGGGACGTTAAGTACTATAAAAATAAATTATGAAACGTTAAGTATACTATGAAAGGAAGCTATGAAATGTTAAGTATACTATGAAAGGAAGCTATGAAATGTTAAGTATACTATGAAAAGAAACTATAAAATGTTAAGCACTACAAAACAGAAATTGTAAATTCTTAAGAACTACAAAGAGAAACTGTGAATTACTAGGAACTACAAAAAAGAAACTATGGAATGTTAAGAACTACAAAAAGAAATTATAAACGTTAAGTATACTATGAAATGCTAAGTGTACTGTGAAAAGAAACTATGGGACGTTAAGTACTATAAAAAGAAATTATGAAACGTTAAGTATACTATGAAAGGAAGCTATGAAATGTTAAGTATACTATGAAAAGAAACTATAAAATGTTAAGCACTACAAAACAGAAATTGTAAATTCTTAAGAACTACAAAGAGAAACTGTGAATTACTAAGAACTACAAAAAAGAAACTATGGAATGTTAAGTATACTATGAAATGCTAAGTGTACTGTGAAAAGAAACTATGGAATGTTAAGTATACTATGAAATGCTAAGTGTACTGTGAAAAGAAACTATGGAATGTTAAGTATACTATGAAATGCTAAGTGTACTGTGAAAAGAAACTATGGAATGTTAAGTACTACAAAAAGAAATTATGAAACGTTAAGTATACTATGAAATATTAAGTACACTATGAAAAGAAACTATGGAATGTTAAGTATACTATGAAAAGAAACTATGGAATGTTAAGTATACTATGAAAAGAAACTATGGAATGTTAAGTGTATTGTGAAAAGAAACTATGGAATGTTAAGAACTACAAAAAGAAATTATGAAACGTTAAGTATACTATGAAA